AGCAACTCACACCCTGCAACGAGCAGCATCGCAGGTCTCTAGAATCTAGCATGGCCCGGGAAGTGGCGTCGCCGACACAGTGAATGTTAGGAATGGCAGCTGAAGTAGGGCGGGAGTGCGAGCAAGAGCAAAGCAGTTCTCCCGTTTCACTAAGCAGTGACCTTTTCCACAAAAACCATAAAGAAATGGTCAGATCACATGGAGGCACTCAGAGAGGCAGTCACTGTCAAGGGGATAGGCCCATGCTACACAATCGAAACACTGTTTTAGTCGGCTGTTAGGTCTTGGGGCGTGGATGCTATCCAACATCTTCCAGTTATGAACTAGAGTCCAGTCGCCAAATCCCTGATTGATGAGTATGGATCGTTTGCAGGTATAGGGCACAAGGCCGTGCTCGCTCAAGGTCTCGGTGTTTCTGTCAAGACTCCACCTGCTCCAGACGTGGTGTTAGTTAGCCAGGTCAGCTTAGCTGTACCACGTTGTTGTGTGGCCAGTGCGACGGACGCACCTAGGAGATCTGGCTGCAAGCATTGTGTGCTCGACTGAGCCACCTTCCCCCCTGGGCTCAAAGAAATAACTAGATCCTGTTCGACAGGTAATAGATCAAAGCTCCTAGGGCAAAGAGAGCATGAGCGATGAGAGAGAAGAAGAAGCCAAAGGAAGTGCGCTGACTCCAAACACACCCGCCTTCAGCAGCGACAAGCTATTCTTCACAATGCCACGAAGCAAATGGAAGTCCTGCTGAGACAACATCCTATGCGGCTAACCTCTCCACACATCCAGCTTGTCAAACAAGCTGGACCTGTTCCGTCACCGCATGCTGAAGCAGACATCACTCTCTGCAGCTACATGCTGAGCGGCAGCGAAGATGCCCAGCAACAATCCGCATCCTCGCAGTGGATGACAGCAGCGTTTGTCCTCGTGTGTCACTGGCGCATCAAGGAGCGGGTGCATTGCTAAGATCCTCAAATGGAAAAAGTGGAATGGTGATGTCCTGATATCAACACAAACTGTGAGCGGCGGTTAGCCCGCAGAAAGTGCAGCCAGTCTCGTGTCATGGCTGTCGGCTGCGATACGTGTCGTACCCCTTTGGAAAAAGAAAACAAGTCAGCGAAGCTCAAGCTGTGGAGATTGATATACCAGGTCCTGATCAATGTTTGGAGGTTGGCGGGACGACTGAGGCTCAACTCAAAAGCGACAGCAGACAGCTTCTTGCTTCCCTCTCTACGTGAACAGAAGAGTTTTACAGCAAATGAATGATTGCTACGTAGTGCGCCTCTACCGGCACGCCATAAGAAGCCGCCACAACTGAGAACGCCACGGCGACGTACGTCAACGCTGCAGCGTGCAATGTGCTCTCGAACGTCACCTTCAGATGCATACTGTAAAAGGGCAGCGAACCAACGTGACCCACGCTGAAGAAGCCTCTAACATATTACCCAACTTTGTTGGAGCTTCAAAGGCTCGCACCATCACAGCCGACCATCTCAACAGGCGCCAGTTGCTCCCAAGCGCTCCTGGATGTAGTAAAGGCTGGCAGGCTGGCAGCACAGAGGCAAAGGCATGTCAGCGGAGAAGTGCAGGCAGCAAACCCGTGCAGGCCTTCATGGACAGACTATTGGCATAGTGCGAGGAGAGTCGCCCTGTTTGTAGTCAATTCCAGCGAAAAATGCAGATGGACACCGAAGACAATGAAGAGGAGCTAGGTGTACGCATGAGACAATGACAATGATGGATCGATAGCGGATGAGGAGTAAGAGGATGAGTCATAGAGGATTGTGACAACTACTGTTTATTGTTGTACTGTTTAAGGCTGTTTGCTAATTTTCTCGTTGAAATATGCCCTATCTACTATCTTGAACAGTGAATTACATTAAAGGTGTCTTTATTTTGACGCGCTTGACCTTTAATTTTGACCTTGACCTTCGATCCCCATTACTCTTAAAAAGTAATCTCAGAAATGGACTCCCTGCTATGACTCGAAGCCGCACCTAAAAAAGAGGTATTGGCATGACACTCTCTAGGGCATCGAGATCACAAATTTGTAAATTGACCAAAATCGAAGATGAACGGCGGCGGCCATCTTGAATTCCAAGAAATGCTCAATGATGCACAGGTAGCAACCAAGCTAAATCAGCTCTCCTAACTATATAGAACACATTTCCATGAAAAAAATTTAGAGTAATTAACATTGCAGGGTCCCATATAGGACATATAGGGCCGGCAAACCGACTAAATGCCTGCCGTACCCTTTCAGCGTTTCCGAAAAATGTCGATCCATTTCCCGCGCCGCGCGCATCAGCCGGCATTGCGCGCATCCTCACGCCGTGACGCATCGAGCCCCGGCCGGCCCGCTCCCCGCACGGGCCTGCTGAATGAACGAACCGGGCTAGCTAGCTAGCAGCCGAGTGCAGTGTGAACAACCGGCACAATGGCAGGCAATAGTTCTAGCCGCGCTGGTGACCTGGATCAATTGTTGAAATTCCTCCATCAACGAGGATGTATTGTCCACAAGAACCCAATTATTATATATCTACCCGAACCTTATTTATTATAAACAGTATTTAATAATTTTGATCTGTTTCCACTTGTTTGTGCCAGAAAATTTCATTCTTTATATCAAGATTTTGTTATATCTGTGCTCGTTATAACAGGGTTTGCATGTAATTCTTGTACATGTATCTCTATGTAGAATAGTGTGAAAAAAAATCAACATTTTTCTTCATACACTTTTAGGGTGGAAGGGGGGGGGGGTACTCTTTGTACACTTGTGAAAATGTTGATAATTGTGAACGACCCCTTAGCTGCCCTTACTGGGTAGGTTATTAGCTGTGATTACCATTTGGGGTGGCAATTCAAGACACTCCGAAGAGACGATTTAATCAGAAATGGATTCAAGGAATATGAGAACTATATGGATTGGTTAACTTCTAATTGTTGTGCACCAGTGAGATAAATAGTAATTAGAATAAAAAGTGAATTTTCATTCAATTCACTATGAGCAACCTAACTAAAGGTCTAGTGCTTATACATTGATATTTATTCCCTGATCGAGAAACCATTTATCCTTACAAATTGTGATTTTTATTAACTATATTTATGCTTGTTGTGTTTATGTTTATATCTGCGCAGTTTTTTTGCATTCCAAGTTGATTTTTTTTACTAAGACAGTTACTTTCTTCATAATCGAAGACCGTGTAACTGTTTAAGTAGCTCTGGTCAGAACTGGTGATCACATCTACACCAGACGATTGTGCACCTCACTGTAGATGTGTAGTACAGTGTTTTAGCCAGACAATTAATTAGGTAAATCTTTAGGGACGGCCGGCGATGGGCCCAGAAGACATTAGCTGCATACTTAAAGCCGCACTATGCGCATCTACACGCTAATTTCTCCAGTACTGGACTAGCAAATACTTCGTGTCATGCATAATCACACTACCTTATGGCAAAATAAACTCTAGTTGCTCCCATTTCACTGCGCGTTTGCTTAAACCCCACAAGAAAGAGGTGCGAAATCTGGTAATCTGGTGCCAACGCCGAACTGTTTGCCAAACAATTTCGGTTAGGTGACGTCACATGTTTTTATATTTGCTACACCCGTACCGCTGTACCGCAGCACCGCAACGGTTGACATCCGAGAATTTGAACAACATTGGAGGTATTTTCAAATGCCTTTTATAAGACAACGTGCAGTGAAATGGGAGGAACTAGAGTTTATTTTGTCATCATTGATAGTGTGATTATGCATGACACAAAGTATTTGCTAGTCTAGTACTGGAGAAATTAGCGTTTGGATGCGCATAGTGGGGCTTTAAGAGTGGAGATAAATTAACGTGACAGAAGGCATTCCAAAATGGTCATTAAGGGGGTACCCTCGGACGGTAGTCGCAACCGGTCGTGGGTACAACGACCCTTGACACTAACGACGAAACAGGTCGGACGACGATGGAGACAGATAAAAGACAGGGGTTTTGATAGAAACGGGAGAGACGTCGACTACAGCTTGGTATGTGTACATTGTTGCTATCCGTGTTTAGAATAAAACTATAGTTGTCACCATTTACACAACTGTTACGTTCTACTGTCTACGAACCGATATTCCTCTCTGCAGATGCCTTTTTAACTTACCAAAATCCGATTAGTTTTCGAGTTTGTATCACCAAGCGTATTATATAAAAGTATTGAAACACCAACAGGTAGGGTGAAGTGACAGAAGTGTCAGGGTTGGAGGCAAAAGGCCACACTCTTTAGAACGTGGGCCATTAGACCCAGTAAAGCTGTACTATTGTCTTTTACTTTTTCCAAATAAGCAGGCATAAAATAGGCATTCTTCACATACAGAAAAATGGTAATTCTCTGATGACATGACGACTTGACTTTTAAGCAGGTTCAGCATTTTCCTTACTTCTTCAAAAATAGACATAGAAACACCCCTAATTGACCTAGCGTGACCAAACTTGGTGTACTTACACATCTTGGGGAGAAGGTGTGCAGACTACCAAAACCAGGTCACTGCGACCTTTATTTGACCTTTACCTTGACCTTGATCATATTTCCCTTCCGCTCTCTAACTCGATCGGCCCCTAATTGACCTAGCACGACCAAACTTGGTATACTTACACATCTTCGGGAGAAGGTGTGTCACGTACCGAAACCAGGTCACTGCAACCTTTATTTGACCTTGACCTTGAGCTTGACCTTCATCATATTTTCCTTCCGCTCTATAACTCTGTCCCTAATTGACCTAGCGCGACCAAACTTCGTATACTTACACATCTTGGGGAGAACACGGGGGATACATGTAGTTGGCGACAACTGCCCTTTCTAGTTTTACATGAACTTATAAATGATGTCAGCGATAAAAATATAAATTTCAAGAGGTTACATTCAAAATTTGTCAATAAAAAGTTATTATAGCAAACTGTTGATTATATAGATGCATAAGCTATGTATAGAATCAAAGTATGCATAAAAACAGTATGTAGAAAGTAGGAGAATTTTCGTGTATATAGGATGCATATATTTACAATAATTACATATAGGAATCTCCAAGAATAAGCCATGATAAGCAGATTACATCGCACAGTTAAACGCAGATAGACTAAAGCAATGGAAGCATGGAAGACTGGAGACGTTTATATGTGAGTGCGTAAAACCATTGTAATATACATCATGCCGGGAAAAAAAATTTGTAATTTACTCCACGACTATTCGAAATCTGACTAGAGTCATTAAATGTGTACTTATGTGCTTTCAGACCATATATGAATTTGTTATGCCATTTTTTAACATGTTGGTTCCTTTTGTATAATATTGAATGCATTTCATTGTAAGCCACGTGTAATGCAATATAACTAGACATGCAGCAATTCCTTGAAGACCAATATTAGCTGCATCTTTGAATGCCCACCGTCACGTAATGGCGTAATGCTGGAACAATTGGCTGATCACCTCGACATCGTCCATGAACTCGAGTTTCTGAATTCTCTGTATATCTGCCTGTGGTAGCCTTTTATAAACCTGCATCATTTCCAATGATTCGTCACCATTCCATCCAGTTAATAGGAACCTGTGATTGAGGAAAAAGAAATCATGCTAGTCAAAGTTTATACAACACAACATTGCAGGATGTGTTTAAATCATCTCCGTTAGTCATAAAACTAACAAATGAGTATATATAGTAGGGTCTATTTTCTATTTTGTACTTGCTTGTTGTTATCGCTGGAGTAAGCATTCAGTCGCTTTGTCCCATCATTTAGTGTGTATTTATACTCCACACCTGTTTCAGAATGAAGTTTTAGAATGCTCAACTTTTGACTCATATCTTGTTTATGGAAAAATGATTTTTGATGCTTAAACATCAAATGGATTTTTGATATTGCAACCATGCTCGCATTATATATGTATATCAAGAGTACATAATAGAGAAGAGTATGACCACAGGCCCTTGGAGGCTCAAGTTTCGAAAAAGTATAAGTCTATATTAAGAGCGAAGCAGAGAATTCGCTTCGCTCTTAATATAGACTTATACTTTTTCGAAACTTGAGCCTCCAAGGGCCTGTGGTATGACACAGTTTTAACAGCGTTTTGCATAGTTTTCAACTTGTAAATATTCTATCAATATGTGAATAAATATATTCAAACTTTACCTTGTTTTCGTCTATGATCATATGACCAATTTACCTGAAAATCGTATGTGTTCTTCAAAAAGTTTTCCCAAATGAGCGCATGTGTTCGGCGCAAGTTTATTATGGGATTAGTGTTCTATTGTCTATGACGGAACGCTGGGGGCTGTTGGGGATTATTAGGCATCATGGGATTAGTATTCAGTGTGTAGCGTTTCCAGCGTGCTAAAAATAAATGTGTGCTCACGGCGAGCTAGCAGCTGATTTTAGCTGTGTTGCCATTGCGTTCCTGATGATAAGGAAGGGAAAGAAGTGCTGTTACTGTGCTTACCTAATATCCACAACAGCCCCCAGCGTCCCGTAGTTACAACCTGGTGCTGCCGCCGCATATCAACATGAGCCGAATACATGCGAACGTTTGGGAAAACTGTGTGAAACCGTGTCGTATTCAAAGAACTTTTTTGAAGAACACATACGATTTTCAGGTAAATTGGTGGTGTCATATGATTAAGGGAGAATCATAAACGAAAACAAGGTACAGTTTGAATATTTTTATTCACATATATTGATAGAATATTTACAAGTTGAAAACTATGCAAAACGCTGTTAAAACGGTGTCATACTCTAATTCTCTATTATGTACTCTTGATGTATATAAAATATAATGGTGCGAGGTTAAGTGAATATAAAGAAATAACCTAGCATATTGACGGGGGTCGATCAATTTTCACCACATTACCTTTGTTTCTGAGTTTCGAGAGACCTACACGCATCTACTCCTAGAAGTTCGCAGCCTCTTCCCATGAGGTTTCTTAACATCACGGTACCAAACGTGTCCTCCATGTTTACCTGTTAAACATAACCGGCAGCCTTATCGGAAAATATCATTTGCTGTTCGTCAGTGTTCACACTTGCTGGAGAACTCTAGTTACATTTACCCCTCACAGCTCACACGCACATGCGCACATGCGCACATACACACCCACTCACGCACACATGCACACACACACACACACACACACACACACACACACAGAGACACGCACACACACACACACACACACACACACACACACACACACACACACACACACACACACACACACACACACACACACACGACACGACGACACGCACACACAACTCACAGACATTTCTTACTCGGCAGACATTGCAACATTAACTCACTAGGTTTCAGTTGAAAATTCACATAGATCTGCCACTTGCAGCTGCTGCATATAACCTTGGGTATATATAGGTCTATATAAGGCTGGCCAATCGTTTCAATTTTTAGCTCACTCTTGACATCGCAAGCCGAGCTTAGTTGCCATGGGTTGTCGTAGCGTCCGTCCGTCACGCGTCCGTCCACTTTGGCTACGGTCAAGTTATAACATGCAGGAACCGTTTGACCCACATGTTTTGAAATTGGTATAGTTTTACGTGCTATGCTCATTAATACCTCCTATTTGAGCACGCCAGTCGACGTAAGCTTTCGAAGCCAGCCGGCATTTTTTTGGCCAAAAATGGGAATTGCCATTTATAGTTCAGTTCAGCGTTCAACGCTTTGCTTCATTTTTGGTATGTGAGTGAGAATAAAGGCTAGGGTTTTGATATTTAAAAAAAATTATGGCAATTAGGTAGGGTTTGGCAAATATATTAGCATATTATATAGACACGCAGATAACAAACCAAGTCTGTGGTGTTCAAATCACTCGTCTGTTCGTTTTAACAAAGATTTCGATTTGACATATCTTTAATGCAAATCTGCTATGAACATATTATGATTTATACTATTACTATTATATTCTTATATTCAGTCGAGTAATAATGGATTTTTATGCTAAGAAACATCAAAGCGGTTGTAGCGGCCATCTACCGTCACAAAATTGCGATTCATATTTGGGTTTATAAATTATTTATAATGTATATATTTAATATTAATTTTATTTTTTTCACATAAAAAATTACACATATAATTATCAAGAGTATATAATGGGAGTTTATATATATACTCTTCGTTTCTATAATGTACGTCGATGGTTGCTCAATTAAAACTGACTTCTTCTCACTCACTCATTTCTGTCCTTTTTTGTGGTGAGCTACAGTGTCATTGACACTTTCATTGTACTTAACGTTCAGTTAAACTTCGGTGGTATTGCAACGACATTGTTTAGCATGAGTTTAGTATCCACTCACCTGTTCATAGTTGATAAAAAACGAAGTCTTGAAGTTATCGCTAATCCACTGAAGCAGCTGCGCCGAAAGATTTGTCTCCATATACACGAGGACACATTCTGCGATGAAAAGCGTCGGTAGGCTTTTGTCTATCTGTGACACGACTGAAAGCAACAAGAGGTAAACCCTAGACTGAGCCCCCATTTTACCTGTAGTGAAAGATCCCTAGGGGTAGCCGACTACGGTATGACAGGCGTTATATAGTTAACGCGTTTAGTTGTGTGGATTCATTATTCGCTCCTGCCGTTAGGCAGGATGGTGATGCCGTAGCGTATAACAGGTAGTACCCTGTGGAACAGGTTAGATTCGGTTAACTGTACGGTTATAGCTTTATTGCCTCTTACTAGCTCACAAATAATTCCCCTGCATTCGGATATGCCGCTGATCTGTATCTATCTCGTATATGTAGCTTACGCTACTTAGCTTGCGTTATAAGTTATCTGGTTCGCCGTTATATTGCGATTATCCGTGCAGCGTGAAGCGCTGTTACGTTGTTTAACTATAACCACTAGACTAATATTAAAGAATTAACGCGTCCGCCGGCTTCGTCTTTCCCTCTCCCTTTCGTCCTTTCTTCGCGTAGACCTAGGTATAGCCTCCACGGGTGTCTCCCTCGTAGTCGCTCCTGGCTCTACCTATCTGAAATCCCGTGCTTCTTTCCTTCCCGTTTTATTCCCTGTACCCGTAGTTCTACCTACCTGAAAACCTTTGCTCCTATTCCCTCTTCTCTCCCCGAAACCTAATATGCTTTCTTCTTCTCCTTCTTCCTCTTCTTCTTCCTACCTAAACCTAACCTGAAAAATAACGCTCTCGTGCTGCAGTTCGGCACGCCTTATATACCTAGCTGGCAATGCCCCCCCTACGTGCCATTGTTTAGTACGCGTCGTCAAAACACTACCCACCAATCAGATTCCGTGGCTGGTATTATTATTGCACCATCTGACGCAATTCGTTTCTAAGTAAATATTCCTCTCTTCGACAACCTAGACTATTCATTCTATTTAAATCTCCTCGTAGATTATGCTGATTAATAGTACATAACCGCGTTGATTATTATACTCTATATATTGCGTTATTGCTTTTCGCGTATAACATTTCTTGTTTTCCTTAGACCCCATCCGTATGTATGATCCAAGATGGCTGCGCCCAGGTGTTGATATATTTATGTGCGGTCTATATTTTATCTAGCTCTAGTAACTATAGCCCGCAGACAGTTGCCGCAGGGCTGGGACTGTACGCGGGCTATAGTTACTAGAGCTATATTTTATCCTGTTCTTAGTCTATATATATATGGTTATTCTATCTATACTGCGAGTTCAAACTATCCATCCTAATTTAGTCTACTGCTCATGTGAGTTACACACCCCCGAAATCTCTACAGTACGGTGTTAATCTAAAATCATTGCTACAAGTACACATTGCAGTGCTACTTGACAGAATAACGCGGACCTTTGTGTCTAAAGGGCGAGTCTACAGTTTGATATCGGTGGCCCCAAAATATCACAAGTCATTGTCAAGAAAATGGCCTGATATGACCCCCTTGCCTAGTTTACGTTCAAAGCTGAAGAATGGAGTGAGTGGATAGAGGAATTCGGACGATTTCGGAAAGACACTAAACTTTACAAAGAAGACGGAGTAAGTACAAAGAGACTCACTTATCTACTGTATGGGAGGTAAACAATTGAGCCAACAAAATATTCAAAACGTGAAATTTTGTTTCGATGAATGTGCCTGACCAGAAACCCTAGCGCCATAATTAGAGAGGAGGAAAAGGACACTGATTACGACACAGTTGTCAAGAATTCACACAGTACTTCATCCCGAAAGAAATATAATACACGAGAGATCACTTTTCTTCAAGAGAGGTCCAAGGTAGGAGGCAGACAGTTGAGGAATTTCTAAGGACTTTCAAGCAATGGCGGAGAATTGCGAGTACAAGGCTCCAGAAGACCAAGTGACGTGACAGGTTTGTCGTGGGACTCCTAGACGAGGAGTGAAGCAAAAACTGCCAGCTGATGTCAGATTTGACCTAGATAAGGCCTTCAGCAGTGGCACGCCAGCATGAACAGGTAAAATTACAGATTATCCCGAACAAGCTTTCCACCAGGAGGTTAGTGAGCAAAGTTCAACAAAGGGGAGCATAGACCAAGGTGGAAGAAAGATGTCAGCAGCCACAAAACAAAACAGAAATGCAATCGTTGTGGTTATGACTGTCACCCACGGGGTGTAAATGCCCTGCTAGTGGACAGATCTGTAGGCTATGCAATAAGCATGGAATTTCTCTTCAGTGTGTCGCACTGGTAAACACCGACGGTGGAATTTAAATGGGGCAACAGACGCAGTGACATCTCAGGATACGTTCGCGAGGGGAGGAATCATTCTACCTGGAACAATTGATTGCCATGAGGAGGATGAAGCGTGGTATGTACCACTAACATATGCGGCTCAACTGTAAAATTTAAATAGACACTGGGAGCGGACGTAACAGTAATTTCACACACCATCTTGGCGATCATTTGAAAAGTCACCCACACCTGATGCACAACAAGGTCAAGCTCAACAGTCCTGGGGGCAGCTCAAGGTTCTAGCTAGGTGCACTTACAGCTGTCATCACTCAAAGGGGAAAGGCTATACATTTTCGCGTTAGTCGTGATAGATGGACACAGGACCAGTCAGCCTGCTAGCCGCTCGGAGTCGCAAAAGAAATGGCCTAGTTACCATGTAGATGAAATCTTGAGTCAGTTCAACTCAGATATTGGTCACTTAAAGACCGGACCAGTCAAGATCAGTTTGACAGCAGGTGTAACACCACTGTGTGTCACCACCGCACGAAAAGTTCGTTTCCCTGATTGATGCGGTAAAAAACAGAAATACGGAGAATGCAGGATAGTGGAGTGATCGCGTCCTGTCACTGGGCCACCGAATGTGGTGTGCAGCTATGGTTCCGGTTCAGAAGAAAAATGGTAAACTGCGATTTGTGTTGACCTAAAAAAGTGATAGGGCTGTTTGCAGAGCACATCACTCGCGAATCTAAGCGACATCGCTCCTAAGTTGGCTCAGTCCACTACTTTACCAAGCTGGATGCAGCAAGTGGATTTTGGCAGATCCCTTGGATGAAAAAGCCAACTGCTCACAACATTCAATGACGCCGTTTGGGAGGTATGCATTCTGTCGCGTTCGGCTTTGGTATTACTTCGCGCCAGAGATCTTCCAGCGAAAATGACCGGAGTTATTCATGGCTTGGAGGGAGTAGAGGTTATAATGGATGATATCTGGTTCATGGCCGATCCATGGAAGAGCATGAAAGGAGGCTAACTGAAGTTCTGACGAGACTTCAGGAAGCAGGTCTTCCAGAAATGCCAGTTTAAGATGAAAGAATTGGTTTTACTTTGGTGACCTATCGGTGCTGAGGGATCAAGCCAGACGCAGAGAAGGTACGCGGCAATGATGATCTGACTCCACCATCAATGTCAGGGAACTCCGTAGCTTGATTGGAATGTTCCAATACCAGGGCAGTTTGCAAACAACCTGTCTTCTGTTATGAAGCCCATGACAGATCTGCTGAGGTCTGACAGTGTGGTTATGGGAGCCAAGTCCAGCAAAGTGCCTTCCAAGAAACCAAACACGCTACTATGCGCTTTTCCAACCACTAAGCCTACTATGATGCGAAAAAGCTAAGCGATCATAAGTGCTGATGCTAGCAGTTTCGGGATAGGGGCGCTACTCCTACGAAAGATAAAGAAGGCTTAAAACCAGTAGCATTCTGCTCAAAGAACACTCAACGCGCTAGCAAGCAAAAGCAGGCGCATTACGCTCAAATTGAGAAAGAATGCCTGCGCGCAGTAATGGGCATGCGAAAAACTGGTCTAGGTATCTGGTGGGATTACACAGTTTACTTCTACTGACCGACCACAAGCCATTGGTGCCTCTACTGAGCACCAAGAACATTGCATGAAACACCGATGCGCTGTCAGCGCCTTTTGCTGTGAATGATGCGGTTCAATCCTGTTGTTCAATTTGTGCCAGGTAAAGAACAGATAGTGGCAGATGCACTATCCAGGAATCCTCTAGCTATCACAGAGGGCAGTGTACAGCTGGCCTAAGATATCAGTGATTATGTGGACACAGTTCAAGTAGGTTGGCCAGCGTCACCTAACAAATTAGAACAGATCAGGGAGGCTACAGAGACGGATGATGTCCTGCATGCAGTAATGCGTTATGTCATCAACGGGTAGCCAAATAGAGTGAACGTGGTGCCGGAGCCTTTAGCATTATTACCATGTACGCTCAGAGCTTATCCGGTGACAATGGAATAGTTTTTCTACAGAGTAGAATAGTTCTCGTCCTAGAGCAAATGAGGCGGGATGCTTTAGACAATACAATGAATCACACTGCAAGGCATCTCGAAGTTTGGCCGGATGATCAAGCGTCCTACCTCACGTTTTCAGAGACCTTATTCTTTTTTTTTTTTTTTTTAAGTGTTACGTTTAAAGCGACTAAGATCCGTTAAGGGCAGAATCAATCCTGATCTGAAGTCCAGGCAGTGGGCTAGTCTCCCTATCTGCTCGAATTAGTGTTAATTGTCGTTGCTGTTAGCGATGTAAAGTTTACACGTTTGTCATTTCAAAGACATTCATGCTATAGATAAGTGTTCATCTCAATAAGGAAAGGCACGATAGTCATAATGATTAACTGATGGAAGCGCCCTTGTAGGCAGAAGTTGTCTATCCGTTTAGTTAAGAATATTTGAGAGCCAGGGCGGAGCTATGAGAGTTTTGCATGGACGGGTTGTAATTTGCGTGTTCTCTGCTCAGCTACGTTCTGGATAAAACGAATCTACAGGTGGAGTTTAAATGCTCTTGTTTGGGGTGTTTAACACAATCATGACGAGTAATCCTACCTGGCTTTGAATCAAGCTCCTTCACGTCTCACGTCACTGTTTGAATCGAGAAACCGGAATCACGTTTGGTAACCTACCGAGCTTTCAATCCAACTCCTTTCATCTCTTAAGGATTACTCTCACCTTTTTGCACGGCGGTATTTGGCTCTAATGAAATTAAACGTTTATTGACGGAATGAATCTGACATCAATCACACCGTTTTA